GGGATCTTCTGCTAACTCTAGAGGTAGGGTTAGGGGGGCTAGGTCCTTTCGCCCCTCAAGGGCTAGGAGGTTTTGACTCCCCTCTAACAGTGAATTCTATTCCTTACAATTTGGAACCGCCCCTGGATTTCAATATTGTTCAACCAGTGACTCCTTTGCCGGTGGGGGGTCGCCTGGCATTGTATCACAAGAATTGGGAGTTAATCACAAAGGACTCGTGGATACTTTCAGTAGTGCGTCGGGGATTTATGTTACCTTGGCAGGTTCAACCTCCAGTCACATGCCATCCGACGGGTCGCAGATTTTTTATTCAAGGCCATCGACTAGCTGCGGCCGAGAAAGCAATTCAACAACTGTTAGAGAAGGAAGCCATTGTGGAACTGCTTCCTCAGGATACGTCAGAGGGGTTCTACTCTCCCGTTTTTCTAGTTCCCAAGAGAGATCCGGAAGAAATGCGTATGATAATCGATCTAAAGATTCTCAACAAAAACTTTCTCCAGAAACCACCCAAGTTCAGGATGGAATCGTTAGCCAATCTGCACAGCCTCATTCAACCAGACGCCAAGTTTGTAAGTCTAGCTAGATTTGAAGGACGCTTACCTGCATGTTCCTATACATTCACAGTCGCAGAGATACCTTAGGTTCACAGTCAACGGTCACAGATATCAGTTCAGAGTGCTACTGTTCGGAATATCTCTTGGCTGTTTACAGCTATAATTAGTGTTTCTTTATCACAGACGCATAGCCATTCACGGTTATCTGGACGATTTTTTAGCCATGAATACAATCACCAACAAGCTTGTAATACAGACCAAGTTCATAGTTCATTTTGGACTCATTGTGCATCCAGAAAATTCGGAATTGACTCCTTCGCCTCGGATAAAATTCCTGGGAGGGATTCTGGATGCGAGAACATGTCATATATTCCCTCCGCAGGACCGCTGGGAAATTTACGGATCAGGATATAGGGCCATAGAGATACAGCAGGCATCAATCAGGAGTTGGATGTCTCTGTTAGGTGCCTTGACATCTAACCAGGATTTCACTCTGAGGGGCAGGATCCATCTGAGAGAAACCCAGGTCTGGCTAAACCAGAACAGAATGTTAGACCTAGATTTGATGATTGTTTGTCCGGACCACGTAAAGACAGAACTTCTTCAGTGGACTCAGGAATCAAATGTTTTGATGGGAGCTCCGTTTCGGCCACCTCCTCAGGATCTCACGATTTATTCGGATGCTTCCACCACAGGTTGGGGAGCACACATGGATCAATTCCAAGTTCAGAGAAATTGGACTTTAGAGGAGAGTGCATATCAATGTTCTGGAAATGTTGTCAATAGTAAAGGCATTATCTCATTGGAGTTGGATGCTTCACAGGAAGAGTGTAATGTTAGCCACAGACAATTCCACTGTTTTAACTTATATAAACAAGCAGGGAGGAACCAGGTCACGGAATCTCTTACACCTCCCACAGCAGGTGTTTGCGATTGCCGATCTCACAAAATGTTATCTAAGGGCACGTCATATTCCCGGGACATTACAACATACTAGCGGATTCTTTGTCAAGGCAGGACAAGATCATTTCCACAGAATGGACTCTTCACAAGGAGGCCTTTGGGTTGATCGGACAGAGATGGGAGACCCCGGCTATAGATCTATTTGCAACATGCAGAAACAATCACTTCCCCACTTATATCAGTCCGGTTCCAGATCCTCTAGCGTGGGCAGTGGACACCATGTCTATCCCTTGGTACAATATGATCACGTACGCGTTCCCGCCGTTCAAGATGTTATCGGAAGTTCTAGCCAAGATCATTACTCACAGTTGCGTAGTCTACCTAGTGACTCCTCTCTGGCGTGCGCGAACTTGGTTCCCCACACTTCTTCAGCTCTTCACGGATGTGATTTTGCGTCTACCGGAATGGAACAATCTCCTGAGGCAGCCGGGGATCTACTCGAGTTCACGAGAATCCTCAGAGTTTGTCTCTTCACGTGTGGAGGTTATCTGCAGAATGCTCAAATAGCAGGGATTTGATGAAAAATCTTCATTGGCAATCACACAATCAATTAGACCATGCATGCAAAGTGGAATCGATTTGTCCAGTGGAGAAGAGACAGAGGACTCTTGAATCTCCAGCATCTATCCCCATGATAGCGGATTTCCTCCTGTATCTGAGAGACTTTGAGAATTTAAAATATAGTACTGTAGAGGGTTATAGATCGGCTATTGCATCAGTTTGTGATATTCAGGGACTATCAGTGGGAACCAGTTCATCTCTTCATAAATTGATCAGATCTTTTCAGCTCAAGGATTTATGCTTCTATATTTCCAAAATGGGACTTATGCCTAGTTCTGCAGTGCCTCCAAAGAGCTCCTTTCAAACCTATGCAATCCACATCGTTGAAATTCTTATCATTTAAGACAGTGTTTTACTAGCCCTTGCAACAGCATCCAGAGTTTCGGAAATTCACGCAGTTTATTTTAAATCAATAACTTTCGCGGAGGGCTATAATTTCATTACTTGCAGAACTTTACCAGAGTTTGTGGCTTAAAATCAATCATCATCTTGTGGACCTTTAGAGCCTAGAAGGTATAAGATTCCTGCCTTGCCTACCCCTTCCTCTAGATCGGACAGATCAAGGTTACTCCGCCCTATTCGTGGCTTGCGCTGGTACATTCAATGGACTCTGCCATTCAGGCACAATTGGCATTGGCTATTCCTTCCTTGTAAGCAAAATATTGATTCAGAGATATCCAAAAATACTATATCTTTTTGGTTCAGGAAAACTATCACGTTGGCATATAGGGACTGTGATCAAAATAATATAGACAATAAGTTTTTGCCGCATGAGATCAGAGTTTTGACGTCTTCTCTAGCAGCTTGGAATTTGGTTTCAGTTGAGCAAGTGGTGTCGAGCTGTCAGTGGAAGTCCTTGAACTCCTTTACAAACTTTTACCTAAGAGTCGTTGCTACGTCTATGGAGGGCCTCCGCTCCTTGGGTCCTCTAGTGATGGCACAGCATCTCTCCTCTGCCTGACCTCCTTATGGGGGAAGAAAAGGAGGGAAAGGGGTGGGGGTGAGGGTGGTGGGGGTGAGGGTGGTGGTGGCTAGATGTCAGAAGTGAGCCTTCCAAAGGGATCAGAGCTGCACATGTCCAGACTACGGAGTACAGGAGAATTGATCATTCTGAGAGGGAGACTCACAGTGCCACTACACAAAGACCTTTGAATGGTGAGGATTTAAATGAACTTCTCTACTAACTATGAGCACTAAGTTAGCGGGATTGGTATCCCTGCGATAGGTGATGGGGTTGTAGGAGTGATGCTAGATCCATTATTAGAGCGTTTAGGGGAATGTGAAATTAAGTTTTTCTAAAAGCACGGTATTAGAATCAAGGGGAATATGCAACGACTGGAAATGACGTCATATAACCGGAAGTGACGTCATCAACCGGAAGTAATACCGTAAACCAGAAATTGATGTCATAATACAGGAAGTGACGTCATAGTTCCGCAAGTGACGTCATAGCACGGTATTGACGTGAGGAAACCAGTGGGAGATAGTTCAGTCCTCAATACGATATTAATTGACCGGAAGTGACATCATAGAACTGGAAGTGAAGCCATTTGATTCAAGGAAATGGATCAAAAGGTCTCTGCATATTTAGTTTTCTTAAGTAAAGAGGGATATAGCAGACTCTCCTAGTGAGTTAGGAATTCTCCCTCACATTAACTTCCTGTCCTTAATGGAAGACTAACAATTAATCATCTGTTAGGATTATGGTGGCGGGCATCATAGAAACATGAGGTGAGGTGAGGTTAAATTGGGTTTAATGTCGTGCTTGAGAATATTTCGCTCATATGATGACATGCATGCATGTGTATGTGCGGCTGCTTGTACTAGCCCAGACTGAAGCTGGTTTTATAGTGCTAGCCCACTGAGATACCATGCCACAGTGAAGCATTAATACCTCACTCAGACACATTATACAGATTCTGAGCCGACCAGCCCTTGTACCCATTAATGGTAAGCGCCTGGCAGGGACCAACAAGTACCATATTTTAACGTCCTTTGGTATGACGCGACCTTCCACTCTTCGTCATGGGACATGAAGTTATCTAAGTCATAGTTATCCTAGTAGGGAATTATCTAATTCCAATAAGTAAATGGTATACCTAATCTCCTCCATCCACGGGCCCTCCTTCCATATGTGGGATTCTGGCAACCATAATTCAGAGGGAATTTTTACGACATAATTAGGAACAATTACATGTATTGTTAGTAATTGTTAGTAAACTAACCTCTGGATTATGGGATATAGGTCCCTCCCGTATGTCCCCGCGAAGTGTATGAGGAGAGGTGTTTTTTTATTAAAAAATTATGAGGGCTTGGGTAGAACAATGCTGTGAAGTCATGGCTAAGGGAGATAAATGCATACTCTTTAGGCATACCACTAGGGATAGCTGTGACTTAGTTTTTTAAAAGAGAATTTTATTCTCTTTCATTTCTGTTTGTCTCTGTGATTCCACAGGAAACTGGCAACCATAATCCAGAGGTAAGTTTACTAACAATTACTAACAATACATGTAATTGTTCCTACCTCATGACATCACAAACATATCAAGCTAATGTGAGAGTATGTTTCATTATCACACATTTCCTTGATGGTTACAATTGATCAAATTAACATCGATGGGATGATGAATTAACCTATCAGTGTTTGGAATGCTAGAGTGAAGGAAATGAATAAAATAGGTATCCACAGTCTATTGTAAACTATCCAAGCAGTCTTTTTCAGTTTGTCAGAACCCCCAAATCCCACTTGTGTATTCAGGCAATGATGTAATAAAGACTTTGTATTTGCAGGAATTACCAAACAAAAGTTATGAACAATAATAATAACCTCCATGTCAAAATAAGTAATTCCTCAAATGTTTGCATGCACTTAATATTGGCATTATTGTATTTCCTCCTCAGAAATGTGCCTTTATGTTTCAGGTCAGTAGACTAGTTGTGTCAGAAATTGTTCACCGTCCTAATCTGCAAGAGAGGGTCTCATGTATTGAAAAATGGGCAGCAATTGCAGATATTTGCAGATGTATGCATAACTACAATGGTGTACTCCAGATTTGTGCAGCATTTGTCAACAGCTCCGTATACCGACTGAAGAAAACCTGGGAGAGATTATCAAAACAGGTATGCTTATTATGTATGGTGATGTAAGTTTTTGCTTATGTGACTGAAAGAGAATGGAATTTGCATGAGTGTTCAACCCATCTAAATTTAAATCTGAAGCCACAATATGATATATATATATATTTCCCAATTAGAAGTGACTGCATGTATTCAGTTGTCAAAATTTGGGTGTATTGAGTCAACTGAGGTTATCACAGTTCTGATATTCTTAGTATGAACAGTATTCAGAGTTTGTGAGGTCAGATTTAAGAAATACACTTCGCTCTACCACCATGTATAGTGTAATAAAACACACTTTTGCCCTGAACTATTATATAGTTCAGGGCAAAAGTGTGTTTTATTACACTATACATGGTGGTAGGGCGAAGTGTATTTCTTTTCTAAGATGCCAAATTTAATACTTTCTACAGATAATTACGATTAATTTAAGGCAGAAAACAAACGATGGTGTCGGTGACCTAAATTAAGAATCCTCGCGACAGGGCTAACTGGCGCCTGTTCTATTGATGTGTCTGCCCCCCACGCTAAGACTCTAACGCTACAAGAAAAAAACAAATGATAACAGTTTGATGACGGTTTACGCTCGATTAAATATCTTCTCTGAATTATTTTAATTACATCTGTCATTAACGTAAACCATATGGGGCAATATGAATGTTGCATTTCTACTACCAGCGTAAGTTTAGATCAGTACATCCAGAGGAAGTTGAGTAGTCAAGCGACATACCACAATTGCATTGTGGGAATGTAAACATTACAAACGCGTTACCGTGTCGCTGAAAACTTGTGAGTCGAAATGACACATTTTAACCGTCGTAAAACATAAACGTAATGTTTCCACCAGTGATGTTAGCTGCGTGAAGCAACAGCAAACCAAGAAACTGGATGCAATGGTGTAGTTTACTGTAGGAGGCCGTACGAGGCGATGACAACTGACATGCATCGTGACGTCGCTTACATTGTGACGTAATGTAAAATGGTTCGATTACGAGGGGGCACACTAGAATGGCGCAGTGATGGGATAACGTCATTCAATTGTTACGTCATAAAAAAAACTATACCTTTATTGTCTGATAATGTAATTTTTTTTCGATTGTTCTATCCGCTAGGCATCTTAGAATGTGAAATACAAACACAAAAAGTGCAACCTTAGATGTACAACCAAAAGCCTGCCAGGAAAAGAAAAAACAAGAAAGTTAAAAACCACCAAACATACAAACTTATCAAACGTCAAAGTTGCATAACTGGTTCTAAAGTATTCACATCCACAAACATCCGCATACATGTACATGCAAACATGTATGGCAGTGTGTGGCCCGGTGCATAGCGATCAGGTCACAAATCAGGTGAAGTTAAGCAAAGTTGGGCACAGAGAGTCCTTGGATGGGTGACTGTGTTTGACAGCTTGACTCCTGAGAGTGAGTTGTTCAAAATTTTCTCTGTTCACCCAGCAGAAAATGGGTATCTGGTGGGATAAAGTCATGTGACTATAACCTTCTAGCACCTAACAAGCAGCTTGAGTTATCCGAGGTAATAATGTGCTGTGCTATTGATTGTTGGCGCTATGAGCATACCTAGTGTGGAGTTTGGCGCTATATAAATGGACACATTATTAAACATAATGCCCTGACTCCCCTTTTGTATGCATGAACTATGAGGTCACACATGCATAACGATAAGGGCTCTACTATGCTTACCATGTGGTCATTGTAATTCAGTTCACTTGGAGAGAATTTGCTGTGGATAAGGACATTAACAAATGATAAATATATGAGTACAGGAGGTAATTGCAGAAAGGATGTGTTACCTGAGGGTGTCGGGGTGTTCTACCCTTCTCCCTAGGCAATCTGTCTATCTACTCTTGTTCCGGGGATGATGTAGCTCATATGAATAGTCAAATACAAGTCCAATATGGTGTTCAAGTCCTGTTTATTTTTGAATGAATTCTTGCACAAAGGTCCTCTGATATTGTCTAGTTCTCCTGAATTACACACAACATTTGTTCACAAACTTCCTGGAAGAACTTGTTTGTTTCTTGTACAACTCCTAATACTATAAGTTCATCTGAGCCATTCTCTCAATATACAGAGAGAACCTCTCTAGTCAACGGTGGGGCCCAGAATCGCGCTCTGCTCCCTCGACTTGTGACAAAATTGAATGTCTAACAATTTTGGCTCCTCCCCCCGAAATAATATCCTACGTCATACAAAAATGACTCATATCCCATCTTAATAATTAGTTACTTTCATTAATCCCTTTCCGGGACTCTATTGGGTACCATCAAATTCTTTCAGTTTTAAAATGACATTGCTAGTTAGCTTTAAGCCATCCATCAACCAAACACTGACATATCTAACAAATATCTAACTAATATTTCAGACTGGTAGGCGCCAGAAGATACTTAATCAAATCATTTCAGATCCTATGTGTGCCCCTTTATCGACAAACTGACCAAACTGACCATCTATATCACGAATGTCCATCCACCTAATTGTGTAGAGACACGAGATTGAACCTTTTTCCCTCATTTATGTCAATTCAGAGAAATTGTTATTCCCCAAGAAAAGTGAATCAATAAGAATTCAGTTAGCTTGGTCAATGCACTTTCCCAGTACATTGACCCTTCTTAACTTGACTTCAAATTGTCCTTAAATATTTATAAAATGTATATAATGTTTTCAACTCTAAATATCCTGGTTATACATGCCCCTCCTGTTCTGTGAATAATTTCATCTGAAAATGTCTAGTCAACAACAACATCAGTGATGCAACAACGACATCAAACAAAGGAGGGGTCACTTGCAGTCAATATCGTGTTTGTCTACCGTGCGCTGCAAGACATGCTCGCAGTCTTTGGGGCATTGAAAGACACACATTTCTCAGGAACAGCTGTTGGATGGTCTGCAGCCTCTGATGGTCTGTGGTCTGATCATGACACCACCCCATCCAAAACGATCATGTTCAAGGACACAGTTTGGCGCAAGTCTTTCTCCTTTACGTCGATAAATCTGTGGACGTCCATCTGCAAAGGATAAGTTAAACCTGGATTCATCTGAAAAAATGACATCTAGCAATGTCCTGTTGCCAAGATTGGCCCCATTTGCTGCCCATCGCTGTCTGGCAAGTCAGTGGCGATGCAATAAGGTTGGACCACGGTACGGGTGAAGACACTGGATGTTGAAGGCAGCAAGGCGTCCTTGCACCTTTTGGGCGCTGAAATGACGTTGAATGAATGTCCCAATTGTCCTCCTTGCCTCATCATCAGCTGTTTGGAACCGATTTCGCAAGTGTGAAACTTGGATATTGTGGTTTTGTCAAGCTGTTATCACAGGTGGTGCACCAGGTCGCGGACGATCAGCAACACTTCCGGTAGCCCGAAAACGTTGTCTGAGTCGACTTACAGTGGATGGATGCACATTAAAGTGCCTGGCAATCATCCCATCTGAAGCACCTTGGCTGACCATACCGATAACCTGATTCCTTTCGTCATGTGTCAAGTGTGGCATTTTCTCAAAGTGATTGAGTTCCACAATTCCTTGTGCTTTTACAGGGCCTGGGTGCAGGTAATGCATGTGAACAACGTGTTTCATGAATGTAGTTGTGTTTACGAGAAATGTCAAAGGTTCAGTTTTAAGTATCAAAGTTCATGTGAGAGGAATGCTCCGGGGACTCGAACTCGAAATGGGCCAGAATAACAGCCTTTTATCCCTACATCCTCTGTATCGCAGGCAAAAATCTTCAATAGAACTTTTGTGAGTTTCAGGACAACAAATACCAATTGCGTTTTTAATGGCTTACAGTATACATGGGAAGTGCATCATAGCAAATGATAATTAAATAGAAATAGGTGTTTTCCATTTATTTCCAAGTTTCAACACTATATATTATAGTTTCTGAAAGCGTGACTCCATGACTGATGCAAACACACACAACAATGACTGTACTTCTCCTCATTTCTGACTATTACCCTTGGTCTCAATGAAAACAAAAAGAAAATAACAACCAGCAGATTACCAGAATGTGTCGGACTACTTCCATGTCACATTTATGCATACTGTAAATCAACAAACTAATGCGTGTATTAAATAATGCGAGTGCAAACCTCAAAACGAAAATGCGTGCATTTATTAATGCGAGGAGGCAAATCAGGAAATGGTTGATCAGAATGACTATACTCACTAATGACTACACTCACAACTTTGGGAAATACTATACTAGTATTTACTCCGACTCTAGTGTAAACATCTTAATTCCCCCGAACACATGAGCGTTTGGATCAAAGACGGCTGTCCTTTCAGCTGTTAGTATTAGTAATTGACAGTAGACAGGCTGATCTCAGTTTGTAATCTCAAGACAAAAGACAATGACAAACGTGTTGATTTGAGGATTAGCGTCATGAAACCTGTCCATGCTCGCGCGATGCAGAGAGCAATTGAAAAGGTAGGCAGAAATTGTGAGGTAATCTTATATGGATGGCAGTTGGCATGTCTGCTAGACGTGGTCCAGTGAGTTCAAACCTTGTAAACTAGACTGTTTATTCAAAGACTGTACATGTAATACAACTTAAATGATTAGTACTCAATGTTTCTGCCCCAGAATGTATTTTACTTGTTGATATAATATAATGTCGATGTTATTGTGTCAAGAAAGGAATTTTTGTGAATCAGTCGTTCGTCTTTGTTCACTGGGTTATCGTGACCAAAATACTAATAATAAAGATATCGAGTGCAAAAAGGCAATATAATAATGCGAGATTTATTAATGCGCTTCAGATATAGTCGCATTTTTCGCATTAATAAGTAGCTCGCATTATTTTATTGATTTACAGTATACGTTGCTTGAAAAAATGAACGTTTCCCTCCAAATACCCTGCGTACCCATGTTGGTGAACACGCAATTTTGAGAAAGTCGCATCCCGATAGTGATGTCATACACATGTCAACATTGTTATACATATTTGATATTTTCATTGAGGTGAGGTTATGAATGAAAATACACCG